GGCAAAATTTATTTTATTATAATTTATACAAAAACTTTTATTGTAACTATATTTGATATTCAACAAAATTTTGTTAAATTTCCTTAGATGATCACATTGTATGTATTACGATTGTAAAATGCACTCTATATATATACATAATTATATAAATATACATACATGCCATTTTCATTAGGGGTTTTATTTTTGTTCGTTTTTCTTTTTATTGAAATTGTTTTTTAGCTGCACCTAATTCTCCCGAGCTTGTAGTATTGTTAACAGTATACTTGTGTATCAACCACGAAATTGTTCAATGTTCTGATTATTTTTTTAAATATATCGATTAAGGAACATTAGAATTATTGATTCACTCCATCCCAGATATTACCAACATATACAAAATACAGTAAAAATAATAGAAAAACAAAAGGACCCCGCAACTATCCTTATGGAAAACCGGTCTCGGTCGAATGGTATAAAACTTTGCCGAATGATAGTCCTCAATGTGTCGATCAAAAAAGTCCATGGGACCTATGTCTGAAAAACTACTGTTCCGAAGCTACAGCCTTCTAAAGTTATCGAATCCACGTGCTCGATGACCATCAAGTCCAATGATTTACGGGTGAGTAAAAGCAAATATTTCTCAATAAAGTGACTAAACTGGCTGTTTTTTTATGTATTTTCGTGTGCTGAATGCGAATCCGTGGTCAAAATAGCTGTACCATCCTTCAGTCTTCAAAGAATCGGTGAAGCACCTATTGAAGAACAGCGATAGAGACACGTACTGCTTGAGCGACATCTTATGTTTTTAAGCATGCTGAACACTTATCCGTCATCAGCAAGCTTGGTCACTTCATAAAGAAATATTTGATATTACTCGCCCGTAAATCATTGGTCAAGTACATGGATTCGATAACTTCAGAAGGCTGTAGCTTCAGAACAGTAGTTGTTCAGACCTAGGCTCCGTGGACTTTTTTGATCGACACATTGAGGACTATCATTCGGCAAAGTTTCGTACCATTCGACCAGGACCGGTTTTCCATAAGGATAGTTGCGAGGTCCTTTTTGTGGGAATAATTAATTTTGAAAAAAGTACCGGTTAAAATATAGCAAATGTGTAGATTGCAAAAACAGTTTAGAAAAGTGTGAGATGCACTGGTGACAAATAAAATGCAATATTTATCTACAGGCACGGTACTACATATATAAGGTGTTGGGGTTTTCCTTATAGCGTAGAATGTAGAACTGAACAAGCAAATACATAATTCAAAATTTTTTTTTCAAAAAAAAAAAAAAATAAAGCCATTTGAATACGGTTTGATCAAAATTAACTGGAATTTTCAAATTGCACGTGTTATATCTTGTCTATCGAGTTGATTCTTTTTTTGTGTATTGGTAGCACTGTCACCGACATACTTGTCAATATTTAGACAACTGCCACAGTTAGTTGGTGTTTAGCGAATGAATAAGACTTACCTCAGTGTTTTTCACGGCAATTTTTTGTGTGGCGAAATGTCAGATTGGAGTCGAAGCATTCAAAATGTTAAAGAAGACCTTTGGGAACAATACTGTCACAGCCACGAGTTTATTAATGTTACAAATGTTTTCGGGAAGGCCAAAAATACATCAAAGGTGAGACAAGATCTGGGGCCTATTTTTTGAAAGTACTTTTCAACTTTTCACTTTTCATTTTACAAATCGTCCCTCTTATCACATACGCCTCTACGTGATAATAGAGATGAAATGTAGAAAAGCGAAGAATAATTAATTGTTTTAAAAAAAAAAACATTATGCATAAATGTTGCGTTTTAAATCTTCAGCCATTCATTTTTACTGTGCAGATTATGAACTGTTTTTTGAATATTTTGAAAACAGAAAATAGCCAGAAAAGTGAAAAGTTGAAAAGTACTTACAAAAAAATATTTACTTTAAAATTTAAAGTCTTGTATTTAGTGGAATATTTATTTTGTTAATCGTAGTATTTATAAATATGTTGTAAATCGGTAAAAAATGTGTTCGAAAATTTTTTTGGGTGGGGGTTTCTCAAAAATATTGAAACGATGGCTGTTCTGCAAGTCGTAAAAGTTTGAAGACAGCAGGCATGAGGGAAGTGTCACCAAAATGATGTCATAGCGTCACAATTAGATGCTGAGCATTTTCCTTTAACTTTATAGCTTCGTTTAAATAAAGTCAGAACATTCCACAAACCTCTCTTCTTTTAAATATATAAGACACTAGGTCATTTTACCTACCCAAGTTTCTACATCGGATCACTAGAGAATAAGAAAATATCAGAGATGCACGATACAGTACAACATTTCTGAATATCAGTTTTTTTCCATTCCGATACTCGATATTTTGTACTGGTATTACAGCTTACTATACAATACATTTTCTGGCAACATCCATCGGCAGTGAAGTACTTCACTGGTTACGGGCAACTTTCCAAATACACTAGAACCCCGATTATCCATGATGTACGGGACCAAGTGGGGGATGATTAAAAATTATGGATAATCAAAACATTTAGTTTTTACACAAGAAACTGAGCAATACATAGGTAAACATGCACAAAATCATTGAAAATTCAATTTAAGTACATTTATTTTAAGTACCTAGCTATACTTTTTAAACAGTCAATCATTTTGTTCCATGTTCAACTTTTTCTGTTTGTCTTTATTTTCTTATGTATTTTACGTAAGTTTAAAATGTCGACTTACTCAAAATAGGCTAATAGAATATTTGCAACTTCTTCAGATTAGAAGCGTTAGCCCCAAGACATGATGTTGTATGGACTATACTGAACAAAGACACAAAATAACGCCTCACCAAGAATTTCTTGAACATAGCACGGATAATCCGCACCCTGGACAATTGTGACAATCAAAAAATATAATGCTATTAACGTAGCTTATAAACTCAATGATTCAATCTAGCAACAAATAGCTAAGTATGTGCCACTAGTAATTGCAGTTCAGTAAGATTCATGAAATTATGACCATCGGTGTCTTTGAATGTTAGTAGCGTAACTGTACTACTTTGTTATTGTAAAAAGAGAATTAAAATGCAGTATTTCCTCGACTGTTTATTGCCTAACCGTAAATGTATCAATACTTTTTTTACCAGGTGTTGCACAGAATCGGTACTTTTTAAGCGAAACAATGTGATACGCATACTGGTATTTGTTAAAGTATTGTGAGTCTCTAGAACATCATAGGGCTACATGAAGATTGCTACGTCTTTATAGAAAATACCATGGAACTCATTTGTGGAAAAAGCACCAAGTCGTGAATACTTCAAGTGATAGCTTGTGTGAATCAGTAAACGTGTACACAGGGCCGGACTGGCTTCACGACGAAGGCACAAACCTCGACTTTTTGAGGGACACAACCTTACCCCTCCTCCTACAATAAAATTTTCAAGCATAATTTTGATCAATCCAAGTAAAATTAAAATGTTTTGTTAAAAATAAATTACTGAATAAAAATAAAATATTAATTGTTGTTTACTGCTTGTCAATAGATAACTGCTGCTAACTGATTTGGCAATACGATTCTTTCTCGAAACTATTTAACGATTTAAAAATTATATCTAGGGTTATTGCGTGCGATTATTTTTTTGCATATAATTATACCGTTTATACTCGTGTACTTTTTGCATTCTCCTCATTCGATGTCTCAAAAACGAATGTGTATGGTTTTAACCAAATTTTTCCATTTTATTTATGAATGTCAATTTAAACCTTCATTATTGCTTTTAGTGAAGATCTGATTAAAATTGTTTTATTGAGAAAATGGTTTCGATGGTTAAGTATAGAAATAATAACGAATAAGTAGAAACCGTGTGCAAAATTTTGGCTAAATCGATTCAACTGATCTCGAAACATTAATAAGAAATGGGTATAGAATTCCTACTTTGAATTTTCAATTACTTTAAAATTAGCAAAGCGCTATGAATGAGACGCGGTGTGACGCACCGTAGTGCAATAGTCATTTCATTTTAAGGCTTAATCTTAATTTTTGTTTTTGAATGTAATTTTTTTTTAGTTTTATCTTTGCGAGTATTGAATTTGCTTTCCTCCGCTTACCTAGGGTTTAAGTCGCGCCTGTCTTTGATTTTACGAGTATTGAACTCGCTTTCCCCCCCCGCCTTTCTAGAGTTTAAGGCACCTATCTCTGGTTTTATGAGCATTGAACTCACTCTCCCCCGCTTGTCTAGGGTATAGCTGTATTGAATTAAATTCCCTGGTATTTTTTTTTCATTTTTAGTCTCCAATTTCCATGTATGATGTGATTGATCAGTTTATCGGATTTTAAAAAAATGTAGGTGCCTTCAGAGTGCAAGGTGTCAAACCTATGGGAAAAGGCGCATCAGCCAGTTTCAGCCTGCATATGCAATCTGCTAGGTGTGAATAAAAGCAATCAATTAAGGGGGCTGTATATCAAAGAGTCAACCAGCAATACATTATAGATTTTATTACAGTTTGTCTAAATATGAATTAATGCACAAATAACAGATTTTCCCCCACTTTAAAGCAGATTTTCTATAAAATGGACTTAATTTGAAACTCAAATTACTTTTTGGTTCAAAGAAATTTGTAATTTAGGATGCCACTTGTACAAAAGCGACAAATTACAAATTTCTTTACAACAAAAAGTAATTAGAGTTTCAAACTAACTCAGAAAACCTGCATTAGAATGGAGGAGTCTTATTTGTGGATTAATTCATATTTAGACAAGCTGTGTAATAAAATCTGTAAAAATGTATTACTGGTTGCCTATTTGCTATAGAATCCTCTTAATGCACTTTTTTAAATTGTTATCGAGTTTCTAAAAAATGTTTTATTTTCACAAGTTGTCTTAAAAGTAGAAACAATATATTTTTTGAGCATTCGGCACATCCAGCTATTTAAAAACAAAAATTATATCAGCATAACAAATTCTAAAAATTAAATTTCATAAAATTGTTTCTTCATACGAATTCACCTGTAACGTTAAAAGAATGATAAATAAAACGCACAATTAGAACACTACAAAATTTATTGGTGCTAAAACGTATACAATGAATTGTTCAGCCGTACACTATAGGCCTGTACACCAGAATGCTTAAATAATAAATTAAAAACAAGAGACACATACTAAAGTGTGACGTAGCATCCCAAATTTGTTTTCGACATATCACAATTTTATGAGTTCAAACGAAACATGAACGAAAACGCCACAAATTAAAATACGGATTCGAATGAAAGGTTATTGGCGAACCATCAGATCAGAAAATAAAATGTACGCATAAATGGAATGTTGAAATAAACTAGATAAATTTAAATATTCCAATATTCAGTTAGGAAAATCGAATGTCATAAAAGTGAGATAGACAGTCTTTGGGTCCAGTCTTAGTCAAATTTAATGTAATTGGCACTTACTTCGGAAGAAACGAATTTTTACAAAACCTAACAGGAACAATTTCGATCACAACAAGAAGTACTGAGTATTATTTAAAGTCTTACGAGTAAAATAAGAACTAAGGCTATTCAAATAAAAGAACCTCTAACTGTAACCAAACAAGCATTAGTGTTTTGTGTTGTAATAAATAAAAAATGAACACTACAAATGTTACATTACATTTAACCTGTATAAATATTATATGGAACAAATAGTTACACCTCTACACTCACAGCGGGTGTACTGTCTGGGGTTTCCTCGATCTTTTTAACTTTAATGTCTTCTACCTTGTTATCGGACTCTTCGGTTTTTGCGTCTCCGTTTTGTTTCTCCTCAACGTCACCGTTTACCACCTCGGATTCCTCTACTTTGCCGTTCTCCACTCCGTTCGCCAGTTCGCTTTTGTTCTCTTTTTCATCCTTACTCGTTTCGGGTTTCGCTTCGGCGTCGGAAGACGAGGCTTCGGCTACTTCTTTTTTCGGACAAGCTTCGCTCGATTCCGCTTTTTCTTCTACCTGTTCCTCACACTTCGAAGTGCTACTCTCTGCAGAATCCGGCTTTGGCTTCTCTTCTGTGCCGTTTGATTCTGCTATCGCCTCGGAGCTTTCCTCTGCAGGCTTCGTTTCTTCCACGGTTTCTTTCTTGTTAGAACTTTCTTTGTTTTCATCACTATTACTTGACACTACTTTTTCTTCCGTTTCCACTGGAGTAGTTTCGGTTTTCTTTTCTTCGACCTTATTTTGTGCGTGTTCTTCGGCTTTTTCTTCTTTCTTCTTGTTTACACTATCCTCTTTCTTCTCGCTTACACTTTCCTCTTTCATTTCAACTTCATTTGTTTCACTATGGGTAGACTCTTTTGTTTCTTTAATCTTATCCTCTTTAACCTCTGCTTCCTTCATTTCTTTCTCGACTTTCTCCTCTTTTTTTATTTCAGTAGTATCTTTTGTTTCAGTTTTACTGGTTTCTTTATTGCTTTCTTTATTACTTGCTGGTTCTGTGTTGTCTTCCGCCTCCATTTTTTCAACATCGTCAGTGCTCTGTCGTTCTTCTGCAACTTTCTCCTTTACTTCCTCTGCTACAGTCGTTTCAACTGTTGTGTCTGCTTTTTCTTCTTTGGATTCTTCCTTTTTTAATACAGTCTCTTCTTTTTTCTTTTCAGTCTCTTCTGGTTTAACGACTTTTACTTCCACTTCTACTTTTCCAGCTTCCACGGTGCTTTCTACAGTCTCCATTGGGGTTTCTTCTGCTTTCTCCGGTTTTGTTTGCTCTGTGGTGCTGGTTTTTTCAGTCTTATCGTCACTGGAATCCATTTCAGTCTTATCATTGTCAGTTGCTGGTTGAGATGGTTTGTCTTCAGGTTTTTCTACACAGGAATACAATAATAATTTTTTTATCTATGGGGTAGCTGTAAAGGAGAAAATATTTTATCGTACATTACCTTTTTTTGTATCCGGTTCCTGTTCAGTGGGACCGTCGACTTCCATCTTTTCTTCTTCTTGTTTAGGGGTTTCTTCAACAGGTGCACCGACGGCAGCCGCTTTGTCATCCGCTTCATCGGTTTTTGCGACTTTTGTAGGTGGCTGTTCCTGAATATAAAAATTTTGAAATTCAAAACAGTCATTTATTGGTCAACAAGCTACAAATAACTATCAGCATTCTACTATTCAACAAAAACTATTTTTTGTGTTTTCTACTTTTACTTTCACGAACCTCAGTGGGTACAGTTTCGTCTTCGTTCTTCCGTTTGGCGGAATTTTCGAATACTATCTCCTTGAAATTAGATATGACTGAGAAAGTCTTTGTAGCTTCCTCCGGTATCTCCTCATTTCCTTCTCGTTTCACAAGAATAGATACTATTCCAGCTGTCTTTGCAGCTTCTGCCTCTGTTAAAAAAAAATTATGCACTGTTACAGTCAAATTACAATTTTGTTATTATCTTGTAACTTAGTGGTAACTGTGTAGAATTTTATTAATTTCATTTCGTTCAATGATAGAATTCAATGTCCTGCATTTTCCATCATTAATACATCAAATACACTCGCAATACGCTTAGTTGTATGAAGAAACTACAAAAAATAAACCGTATTTTAACAAACCCACCAAACTGGATATGTTTTGCTAATATTGAAAAGAAACACTGAGAAACTGAGTAACTGAAACCAAAAAAATTAATTCTGGATGGTGGCTTGCAGTGAGACTGCCAGATGTTGAGAAGTTATCCTACAAAGAACTGACAAATCACAAGAAAACTGGGACAAGTAATGGGGGTTCAGAAAAACATTAATCAACCTCAACCAGATCAACAAAAAAGAACTTATCATGTCTTATCATTAGGCTTAGTGCACATGCAGTCTAAAAGAGCCGCGCATCGTCTAAAATAATCCAGAAGTTTACTATGATGACTAAATTTAAAAACAGTGGTAATGGCTAAATTGTCTAAACAATTTTTTTAGTAGTCATAACTTTAATAGTACGGCAACTGCCTTAGCAAATGTGACTGACAATATATTTATTGCGTACATTAGACATTAGGCAAGCTTCCGCATTGGTTCTTTTAGATTCTACAAAAGCTTTCGATACAATTAATCATAAACTGCTTATCGCCAAATGCAAGTACTAAGGTTTTAACGGTGTCTCGTTGAACTTTTCAAGTAACAGTAACAATTTAGAAAACAGGTTAGCAAAACATGTCGGGTGTACCGCAGGGTTCTGTACTTGGACCTTTATTATTTTTACTTTATACGTTCGACCTAACAAATGTAATTACAAAATGTAATGTTCAGTTTTTTGCATACAATACACAACTTTTATCATCATTTTGCAACTGATAAGTCTGACGAAGCACTGACAATTATAAATGATGATTTATCCAATATTAATAACTATGCTATAAATCATAATCTACGCCTAAATCCCACTAAATCAAAAGTAGTTTTGTTTTCCACAAAGAAAAAACGTGAACACTTAAAAGCAAGTATGCGTATTAACATTGAAGATCAGTTGATTCCGTTTGTTACCACTGCATAAAAATTTAGGAGTATATTTTGATGACAATTTGAAATCGTAGATCATGTCACAAATGTTACCAAGGAATGTTACATTAGATTAAAATTACTATATGCTGATAAAAATTTGTTGACGTATAAGATGAAAAAATGTCTGTGTGAGAGTTTAGTATTGTCTAAAATATGTAATATAATCTTTTATCCATGTTTAGACAAAGTAACAAGTAATAGATTACAAAAAATTCAAAACACTTGCTGTAAATTAATTAATATGGCTTATTGGCTATAAATATAAAAAGAAGAAGTAAAAACAAAATAAACATAAACAAGCAGACAAGGACAGCAAATTTGAAATATCAAATATAATTTAAAGTGAAACATTGCTCTCAGTTCTGAAAACACGTTCAAATTGATTTTCGAAGAGTCGACTTATTGAAGGGGTGATATACAGTGATGTGTACTTTGTTTTTTACTTCGTTTTTTCAATGCCTGATTTTTAAAAATAACTCGACAGATCCTTCTGGGTAAATTTTCTTTAACTAATTTAAAAAATTGTTTTTCACTGCTGGCGGAATATCCAAGATTTAAAGAAAAATATAAGAAAAGGATAAAGTCACCAAATAAACCGTTACAAAAAATTCCCAAAAATTAAAAAAAATTGGATTATTCAGTTTTTTAAATTTTAAAAAATCCAAATTTCACAAAAAAAAATTAAAATTTAGAGGGACAAATAAATGTTTGAAATCGGCCTTTGACATGTAAACATCAAACAAAATTTCTTTTGTTTACATCGACTACGTCATCGAGCGACCCCCCCCCCCACTTGCACACTTTTAGATAAGTAAGATAACATTGTTACTCCCATATTTTTGTACCGCGCAGTCAGCGAAAAAATTAGAGGGAACATTGCTTACAACTACAAATATACTGACCTTTAGAACTATCAGTTATGAAGACGATTTCTTCGGTTTTCACTTCCAGTTCCTTGGCAATTTTTTCATAACTTTCAGACTCAGTTTTACCACCAACACTTTGATCGAAGTATTTGGAAATGTGGGAGGAGACGTCACCTTCAGCAGTGTGCGAGAATAGTAACTGTTGAGATTCTATACTTCCCGTTGAGTAAATGGCAACTTTTCGTGATTTAGTCCAAGCCTCGAGGGACGTTGGAACATCAGAAAATACACTATAAAAAGATAAAAGAATTACTGTTATTAGCTGCTGCTACTAAAAAATAAAAATAAATTTGATATTAAATACATAAACATAAATCGTAAGTAAAAATATCCACCAATTGTAATATAATTTGAAATTAAAATCTCATCTCAGATGCAAAAAAGCCAACAAATTCTGTAGGAGGCCTGCCTGAAGCAACACTGTTATGCCTTTTTTTATTCTCAGTGATGCGTAAGAAACAAGAATAAATATGTTCTTACTGAACATATACAGGGTGTTTATTAAGTACTTGTACAAACTTTAAAGGGTAAATCTTAATATTTAAGCTAAAAAGTTCATATGAACATGGGTCTGTAACGATTTGGTTGTTGATTCAGAACGAAAAAAATTTTGTTTGGTATTTTGATTACATTTTTGTTCAATTAATTTGACGAAATTCTGGAAACTGAGAGAAAACAACACCTACAGTGTTGTACCTGGATTTTAAATAACCATAACTTTTTTGTGTCGCACTGTATGTCATTTTTGAGTAAACATACCTATTCTCCATTCAATTTTACTTACCAAAAGTACTCTTAGTATTTGTCGCTGAGAGCAGCCGTTTTGTAAAAAATCAGGTTAAAAGTTAAACCTGTGTCGGAATTTTGTAAGTTGAACCATTAAGTTTTTGAAAAACAAGTGAAAAAATGTGTCTCGTATTGCTATGGGACAAACTTAGATCATTTACAATACTAATACTAAACTACTCTACAAATAAGTTATTAACATTCACAATAATTGCAGAAATAAAAATTTTTTTTTGGACGCTCTGTTTCTGAAAAACCAAGACGTCCTGGACCTATGTTCATATGAACTTTTTATCTTAAAATTAGTCAAAGATTTACCTCTTAAAGTTTGTGCAAATACTTAACAAACGGTCCGCACTGAGCAGCACATATTTTATATTTAGTTTTAGTTGTAAAAATTACTTGTTCACTTCATAAGTTTACTATTCGATTTCTACGAATCATGAATTATGATTTCGATATTTTTCCTCGTCAAGTCAATGTAGGGTTGAAAATATTATCTCTAAAAATATTTTGTGCCTTTAAAAAGTATCTTGTATTTTTATAAAAGTTGCATTTATTGGTATATCAACTTATGCGGCCTCCTTTATTACTGCCTAATTTAAATATGGCATCCAATGGTAAAAAATTCCACATCTATAGTTTGTCTCAATTACAATTATTTATTTGTTTATTAATTTATAAAAACCACCATTTGATCAACTTAAAACAAAATATAATAATAACTTCAAAAAGCAAAATATTTACTTTTATATTGAAAAAACATTTTTAACTTAAAATATGTGGTTCTTTAACAAAATGCAAATAAATTTGTTTGCCTATTACTCATCTTATATCACTAAAATAAAATTAAATCAATTGAGAGAGAGAGCATCCATTGCAAAAGACCAGATTTATAGGACAATTCTTGGATTTTGCATCACGATAATAGACCAACACACAAAGCGATAATTGTGAATGAATGTTTGACCAACAACTCAATGAATGTATTGAGCAGCCACCATATTGGCCGGACATGGCCCCTGCTGATTTTTCCTCTTTTCCAAACTCAAACTACCCCTTCGCGGAACACGTTTCAAGTCGATAGAAGCCATAAAACAAAAATTACTGAAAAAGTTAAATTTCCAACCAGAATATGTGTTAAAAAAGTGCTTTGGAAAAAGTATATTACTTCAATTGGAGCCTATTTTGAAAGAAATAAAGTAAATTGTGATGATTAATTAATATATTGCGTTTTATAGACAAATTCCGAATACTTTCTTGGAAAGAGTGTATTTTTCTGAAAAATGCATCCAGATATAAAATCATATCAGGTCAGGTGTTTGTGGCAATGGGAAACCAATAGTTGCCAAATGATGACCTTTCAGGATTCTACCTATAAAAAATAGTCCCATCTGATTCTGTCAATCTACTGTATTTAAGGAGGTGCAACACACAAAACCAGACTCACTGTATATTAATCACTTACTTTCTTTCAAGTTATTTTTTAACATATCGGTTGCTCATATAAAAATTATTGAGAGGTAAATAATCTAATAGAAAGCATGGAAATATTGTCATAAGTGTTAATTTTACCATTTATTTCAAGTTTTTTTTTTTAAATTTTTTTGGATAATGCAAAACAATGCATTTCTACTATTGAAGGCACATTTGACATATAGATACACTGGAGTCAGTATAAATTATTCGAGCACACTTTTTGTAAATAATTATTTCAAAAGTACCAAGTGTATTAATTTATATGAAATAAGTGTTTATGTGATTATTAAATATGGATATGAATGCTATTGAAACTTTACCAAAACAAATACCTAGTTAAGTTTTACAAAAAAAATTTATTTGATTGTAAAAAAAATGTTCGTAAATGTAAAAGTTACAAAACTAGACGTAAATTTTAGAAACAAATTTTTAAAAACTACAGTATGTCCCTCATTTCCCAAAGTGTATTGATTATTTATTATCAATAGAATCCCGTAAAAAACGTTCATAGCACAAGTTTTAAATCTAGGCGATTGATATACAACTTACTGTGCTTTTAAGTCACCACCTTCATAACCCTTCTTGTAGATCAGTCCTTGAATGGTTTTTAAGCCTTTGTTCTCACTATTTTGCTCTGTAAGTTCTTTGACAGCGGCAGTGGCACCAGCCAGATCGAGTTCAGAGTCTTTCAGTGCCTTAACTGCTTCCTTAACGGCCTCATCTTCCCACTGCGCTTTTAAGAATTCTTCCACTTGTTTCGTTACATACGGGAAGAGAGTCTCCTATAAAAAAAAATAGTGTAACAATTTTTCAAAATCTATTTCTGTATTTAATTATTATTACATAGTTCATTTTGCTTAACCAGAAATATTTTACATTAAGAAAGTTTATAAAACCAACTATACCTATATACTATTTCAATACAAATTTATATTTCAATATTTACAATGGTTAACATATTAACATAAAATAATATGTTCTTTAGTAAAATAATAAATAAAAATTTGGAAAACAGAACGTACTATGTCACTGACACTATTATAACTTGTAATGCAAATAAATATATATACTATAAAAATATATTCATTTTTAGAGCTAAAAAACTAAGACTAGATTTGCAGACAAATACAGAAACGCATCAGTACACTTGAGGAAAATCATCATCAACAAACAATTTTACCAACAAATAAAGAATATAAATAATTAATCAACGACAACATCCAGATTAATTTTTTCAATTAAAAAATATATATTCAGTTCCTTCAAAATTACTAGAAGGGACATGTTAAATTAAAAAATCAATGTACTAATAAAATTCAAACGCTATTATGAATTATATTCAACTATCCAAGAAATAGCAAACCTTCATCCGTACCAGTTGCTAGTACCAAGAAAAACTCAGTAACAGCATAATGACAGATGGTGTTAGATTTAACATGATTCATCAATAATCCTATTCACTAAATTCATCAACCCCAATGTGATTGATGTCTACCACCCTGGGTAAGAATTAAGTTCAGTTCAAGTGACTTGGAATATTTTAAAACTAGTATTTTTAAATAATCATACAAGTAGGCACTTAACTGCCGAATGTTTAAAATTTTATCACTTATTTAATGAAATATAATATCAGGAGAAAATTGTGATTTACAAAACAGAACTTAAAAAAACATAGGTTATAAATTTTTTAAAATTTTAAATATTTATGTTGCAAAATATAAACTAGTTATAAAATTAAACTAGAAACTAGTTTTATAATTCTTTATCTAATAATAGTCTATATTTTGCAAACTATTACTAAAAATGTTTATGAATTTAAACAAAATTTATATTCTTGTACTTAGTTATAAAAGTAGACACCAATTTTAGATTGACATAAATTTTAATAAAATAAAATTCTAAATCACACATAAAATAAACAGGCAATCATTTTTGTAAACAATTATTACAGTACTTACAATAATAAATAAAAAAAAACATTGGACCACCTATTATGTTTCGTCTAATGTCAGACGAATGCAATGAAGTTATTACAGTTAAGGAACACACAACTGACATATTTTAATTCAGCTACATTTAAAACCAGTGATTCTTAACTTTTTTTTTTGTAAAAATCTCACAAAATCATGCCCAAAATAAGGTACAGAAGCAGTTGCAGGAATACTGATACTGATTAATGTAATCAGAAAAAAAATTTGAATATATTCCACATTAACGAGGATGGTAACAATAAATGGTAAACCATTTTACCTTATGGCTTTTTAATAATATGGTAATAACACACTGACAACAAAAGAAATGAAAGTCTCATTTGCAAGTGTAAAAAATGTCATAGGTGATAACAACTAAAACTTAATATTTTTGCCAATAATTATTCATTATAGAAGTAGATATCAAAATACATGGCATTCAATATAATTTCATTATAATAACAAATGCATATCTGTATCCTTTTAATTTAAAAAAAAGTAATGTGACTAGTGACACATTTAAAAAATTAAACATTCAAATTAACCAAGCCCTGTACATTATTTGTGGTCCATACAATAGCAAAAGGCAGCTAGCTACCTGAGGCACCCAAATTTTGTGAATGTACCTATAAATGTCCACAAAACTGAGACTGGACAATAACAATGTTTCTTTATATATGTTGCATAGCATCTTGATTCAGCTGTACCTAGACAAAGATGTGAATGCACCATGCATGGAACAAGGGCTGAATTTTTACCTGATTCAAGGACAACCAGAAATGTTTAAGCCGAAAACACGTGCAAAATCAAAATTTTAGTTATGAACTCGAATCTCTACTTAATGCAAAAGGAATATTAATCCGATGTGGAAACAAACATTGCCTCCATCTTCGCAACCTACTTGCAACAAATAGTACAAATCAAAATCTCAACCGATAAAAAAACTGCAAAAAGCGGCGTCCACTTAGAAAACGATCAACACAATACTAAAACGACATCAAAATACCTAGAGTTTAATAGATAAATGATTGGAATAAAATATAAATTTCTCACCTTAACGAAGTTTATTGAAGTGGTTGTACCGGCTACATCAAGCAGGACAACGGAACATTTTTCGAGGTTTAACGTTGGAGATCCACTTTCCGCTCCTGTACTCATCTTTTTCTTGTTTACGTACAGTACCAATTTGACTAGACACTACTTATACAGTTATTAATCGCTTTAAAATACCAAATTCAACGTTTAAATAGGCTCAATCAAACAGCATCAACGAGCTATGTCGCAGGTGGTAGCACGAAGATAAAATGGTGAATTTTGTGGTGCGGCGTTGGCAAATACCGCCAAACGATTAACGGCGGTTGTGCACGAAAGAGAAGGGCTGTCAACTTTAAGGCATTTAAATTTTAAAAAATTGATATTACTCATGACAAACACACCAAAATATTGTTGACATTTTTTGTAGTGGTCGATTTTCTAATGATTAGCTTAATTTTAATGTCTACGATAGGCGTTCAAAGAAATTATTGAATTACTTTTTTGTTTATATTATGTTGGCTGCGACGGTATACAAATATTCAATTTTTAAATTCGCTTTTAAAATAAATGCAATTGGTCAAATCCCCACCTAAATATTTAAATGATGCATTATGCATGTTTGTTTATTGTTTTTGTTTTTAAATAAAGAAGTATGAAGTAGTATTTTTTTATATTTATAAATGAATATTCGATTCATTTAATTATGCATATTAATTTGTATGTGAGTGAACATGTCTTAAAAATAATATTTAAGAAATTCTTAAAATTATACACAGCTTGTGATTGTTATGCTTTGCGCTATGCCGAACGGTACCTATGTATATTTTTTAGAGAATAATTTTTTTTATAGAAAATAAAGAGTAAGGATAAGGTCATAGGTACCTTATTAGTTGGGAACGTAGGAAAATAAATATTTGTTATACCTAATGGTTATTAAAATGTTGGTAACAATCACAAGTTTTATATTATTTTCACTGATTTTCCTATCCGCTTTTTCAAGAGAGGTCAAAAATTAGGTAAATATATATATATTTATTCTTTAATAATAAAATTAATTTCAAAATTTGAAAAAATTAAATTTTTAAAATATTTCCAAAAGAGTTTGAACACACAAATAATGTCTTAAAATCAGAATATTTGGAGAACTCTCTACCGTTGTGTACAACAAAGCCTAGCGTATTATTAACTGAGATCATTTATTTGAGTTAAACGATTTAGTGCAACATTGTCAATATTATATGGAAATGTTAAATATTTATTGTCTCTCATGAAAGATACAGCAAAACATTTATAACTATTTAAGGTTAAATGGACAAACACCAAGCACATATACTGCATCAGTATTATTTTTGCAAAAACAAACAGTCACCAATATTACGAACATTACAATAAATAAATATTTGTGGGTAAGGTAATTTGTGTTCCCATTTTAAACATACTAGAGATATAGGACATCTTAAACTCTTTTACATTTTTTTTTCATGATATCTGTAATAGTAGCAAGTAATAACAAAACCAAATTGGGTAGGTACTTACATCAAAGTGGCGACATAATGTCTTAAACAGAATTTCTACACCATTTTTCGAAATTTTATAACATTTTTCGAATCGCTGATCGTTGAAGAAACATTAAAAGAAATTAAATTCCACACCCTGTATCTCGGTCAGAAAGCGATTTATGACCTGTTCACATTAACTTTTTTTTCCAAAATCAAGTCCTCTAACTGTTAAAGTTAGTATGTTTAAAGAGAAAACAATAAGAAAGGAACAATAACTTTCATATTCTATGTATATACTAATTTCTATAAAAAAGATAGTATAGTTTTAAATACATGAATGTTGAAAAATCACGTGATTTTTCTGAGCCAGTACTGGCCCAGAGAAATTTTGCATATTTCTTGAGTTAGTGAAAATTATGGTGGCTAGTGGAAATTGTATTGATTATATTTTGATAAGACACACACCATTTTAGACGATGATTTCTAAGCTCTCAAAAACAACTTTTATGAAAAAATTTCAGAGAAAAATTAAATTAGGGCTTATTGACTGGGATCTAGAAAAGTCGCCACGTATACGTTTGCAAAAAGATTTGTTTTTTTTTTTGTAGGATCTGATAGATACATTAATTTTTTATTTTTTTCGAAATTTTCATTTTTCATAAGGTTGTTAGAATGTTATTTTCAAATTAAAAATTAAATAGGTATAACTATAAGAAAATTTTGACAAAAATGTAAAAAACGTTTGTTTACAACTATGAAAAAAATATATATTAACTATGGTTAACCATGAAAAAAATATATTATATTTTGTTCAAATTTCAGGGTTGGCAACTCCTGTACTCATTTTTTCCCTCACAAATTCTGATTGAAATTACTTTATGAAAGTTCTGTATACAGGGTGTTTCAAAAAGGTGTTGCCAAACTTGAGGGGGTTATAGAGGACATTGCGGAAGAAAATTTTTATATATAAACACCTAGTCGGAAATGAGCCGTTTTGGCCCTGGAGCAATTTTTGTCCAAAAACGTAATGTTATTACGTTGACCTTTTGGCTTCGATATTTAAGTAATTTCTATTAAGGATAACGAGACAATAATAAATTTAAAATAATTGTTCAAAACGGCTAGGTTGTTCTTTAGTGCAATGCAAAACCTCTGCCTCAATGACCACTGTCTGTGCAGTTTGTGGATGTCAACTCCCTACATCTAAAATCTAGTTTAAAGTTGTCTTTTTCTCTTAACCGACAATGGATTGACGAAAATGTTATTCGGCAAGGATGTCGGCTATTCGGGAAGCACTCAGATTCTCTAGCATTGCGTCTTGCTTCATCATAAATAAGATTAATATCTGCATACTCATCGAACGTAAATTGGTCTATTTCAACAACTTTTAGAAGTAAAATTGCGTCGCAAACAAAACAAATGTGTCACACTCAATTAGATCCGATCATTTATTACGTGACAACTCTGTTCATTTGTTTCACTATTCTTCACAGTGTGACACAAATAACATTACATGGCTAGATTAGATGCGTGCAATAGAGCTTTTGTCACACAGTTGTGGATAAAATCCATTTTTACCAATTTCATCGTGTATAGGACATGAAGTTGGTAAACAGTTATCAGAAGAGATAAACGTGTTTATTTTATTTTCAATCATTTTTGCGATATCCTTAATTAAAAATTACTTAAATATCAGTCTTTTGGTGTCAACGAGATAACATTACGTTTTTGGAAACAATTGCTTTACGGCCAAAATGGCCCATTTCCAACTAGGGGTTTATATATAAAAAATTTCTACCACAATGTCCTCTATATCCCCTCAAGTTTGGCAACACCTTTTTGAAACACCCTGTATATCATCACAGAAAACATTCCCTATAAAAAAATATGAGTACCATTATCAGAATATGACCATCTTAATTTCACCGGCCACCACTGTTTGTGCTACTTCTAATAAAATGAAGAACCTCTACATCAATGACTTCAAATTATTCATGAAAACATTATAGATAATTAAAATAATATTTCTAGAGAAAACGGGATTTTTTTGGTAAATGAATAATGTTTTAAAATATTTTTTGAAGTATTTGGTAATTTTAACTTTATTCAGTTAATCCTGAAATACAATATAAATGCCAAAATAGAAAATACATTCTACAGTAGATGAAATTGATAGAAAGTATTACTGGTTGCATACATTTCAATATATATTTTTACAATATATGCATGCGTCTATTTCATTTTTTTTAATTACATAAATCACTTCGGCACTATTATTATCAGTGTTGATGATAGCATAAAAATTTCTCAAAAAATTGAGGAGATATTAAAAATATTTAAAAAAGTGGAACTGATTTAATTGTTGTTTTTTTTAATAATTTCCGATCCTTTAATTCACTTGCATCACCTTGCCTATTAGACACCTTGCATATTTTTTATATCTAGAACCCCTGACTTTCTGCTTTTTAATAAAATCCAATCAATAATATAAAAATTTAAAAATTTCTTATTGCAGTTGGCAAACAGTCAAACTTTCTTTTCAAAATAGAATCCGTTCATGGTAAACACATGCAATACAGAATTCGTATTGAAATGAAACGGAAGAATATAAAGTTCCGCCACAAATTCGGCTATCCCACACCAGAGGGCTAAATTGCCGTAACACCCGGCTGTAACCATAGCAACGACAGCTTCACAGCACGTCCAACCAAACTCGCCGGTCCCGCAGTAACTTGATGTTGGCGCCGTACTTCGTGTTTTTAGTGATCTCGCGAGATATTTTTAAAAATCTCCAGTGTTTATACGAACTGTCACTCGAGCAACACACAAGAATGAAGTAAGTATTATTCAAATAACCCTTACCTTGACTGGAGCGATTAAACGATGACTCTTCTTATCTCTTATTTAATTTTTATCGCATTAATTATAGAAGCATATAAAATGTAATGTGCGGTATAAATTTATGAGACCCAATATATTTTTTATGTTAAAAAGCTCACAGGGAAAAAAGTCCTGGTTTCGGAACAAAAAGAATTAAAAAAAGGAACTAAAATTTATTGTCTGAACAGAAAGCATAAGTTTCCTGGAATGTTTTGAAATTTAAGTATATTCATTTCGTTGCATGTGAGAGTGTATAAAGTATACCCAGTTGATTTAGTATATTATTTTAAAACTAATTAAAGTATTGTGCAATTTATCGGGAAGATGTGGATTGGTTAAATTGTCGTGGGTCACAGAATTTATGTCGAGATTAATCCAAGGGTACCCTTGCAAATGTTCAATTAGCAGTAACCGAATTGCCCGGTTTAATGGAAATTCAATTTCCGACCGCATACCGTTTTGCTGGAAAATTTTTATTACAGCCGTGCCGCATCCAAAATGTTAAATGGGAGCGATCCGTATGCTTTTATTATGATGTTTTAATGAAAACTACGAGTTAGAACGATCTAAATTTGACGGTAATGTCTGCAAGCTTGAGAATAATGAAAAATTGTTTTTTTTTGGAATACACTGACATAAGTTTTAGTGATGACTGAAATACGATAAGTTCAAGACAAGCAGACTAACATTAAACATGTTTTTCCTCGTTTAAATGTTTCGAGCATTTCCTATTCACAAAATCCAAGACATTTCGTGTTTTCTAAAATTAAAAAGGTACCTACCTAATAATAAATAAATATTTCTTCCTGAAGAAAATTCAAGGCAAATTTGCAATTTCTCGCAAGTTGCTCGCCTTATTAATTATTCGTGGAACAAAAGACTGTCGAAAC